GATCATCCACATAAAGGGAAACTATGAGAAATTGTTTTCCCTTATGTTTCACATAAAGAGTGGACTCGGATAAGCTTTTTACAAAGCCTATGCTCAATAAGTGATCATTAATCTTGCTGTACCAAGCCCTTGGCGCTTGCTTGAGGCCATAGAGAGCCTTTTTTAGAAGATAGACTTTATCTTCTTCACCTTGCTTCACGAATCCTTCTGGCTGGTCTACATATATTTCTTCATGTAGCTTTCCATTTAAAAAAGCTGATTTAACATCTAACTGAAATATTTTCCAACCATTTTGCGCAGCAACTGCTAACACCAATGTAATAGTATCTAATCTGGACACAGGTGCAAAAGTGTCAGAATAATCAACACCAAAAATTTGCGCATACCCTTTAACTACAAGTTTGGCCTTATGCTTGTTGATTGAGCAATCTGCATTAAGCTTTATTCTGAAAACCCATTTAACTCCAATGACTTTTCTATTTTCAGGCCTGTCAACCAGCTCCCATGTTTTTTTTTTTGTATCATGGACATCTCCTCCTCCATTGCAGTTTTCCATTTCTGGTCCTTTTGCGCTTCCTCGGAGCTAGCAGGTTCACAAACTGCTACATTACATCTTTGATAGATGTCAGATAACAGCCTTTTGCCTCTGACTAGAGGGTCGTCTTCTAATTCATCCTGTAACAGCTCTGTTGTTTGCTGTCCTGAATGCTTATCATCAATGTTGCCAAATAGTTTAGTTGTTCTTTGTGAGTTCTCCCAATTCCATTGTTGTTCTTCATTAAAGTGCACATCTCTGGTAACAATCATCTTTCTGGTTTGAGGATGATACACTTTGTAGGCCTTTGAAACTGAACTGTAACCCACAAAGATGCCCGAAGTTGCCTTCTTGTCAAGTTTGTCACGCTTAGCCTGTGGAACATGTGCAAAACAAACACAACCAAACACTTTAAGAAACGTTAGTGATGGCTTATACCCATACCAAGCCTCAAATTGAGTTTTATCCTTCAAGGCTTTGGTTGGAAGCCGATTTTGGAGAAAAACTGTTGTGTTAGCCGCCTCTGCCCAAAATGTTTTAGGCAACTCCTTCTCATGTAACATGCATCTAGCCATCTCCATCACCGATCTATTTCTCCTTTCACTAACCCTATTTTGTCGTGGAGTGTAGGGGGCTGTGAGTTGATGTTCAATACCAGCTTCTTCATAAAATTGATTAAATTTTGTTGATGTATACTCTGTCCCATTGTCAGATCTTATACATTGAATCTTGCAGCCACTTTGAGTTTCCACCATTTTCTTGAACTTCATAAATACTCCAGCCACTTCATGCTTAAATTTCAAAAAAAATATCCAGCACATTCTTGTGAAGTCATTTATGAAAAGAATGAAGTATAAACTACCTTGTAGTGATGGTGTTCTTTGGGGTCCCGCCACATCAGTGTGAACAAGCTGCAACTTTTGAGAAGCTCTCCAAGCTGATTTGGGGAATGATTTTCTTATTTGTTTACCAAATTGACAAGCATTACAATTTGGTAAATTACCATAAAGTATTGGCAGACCTCTTGACATGCCTTTTCTTTGCATGTTCAACATTCTTTCAAGATGGCAATGGCCGAGTCTCTTGTGCCAGAGTTCTGTGGGACTGACTTGAGTAAAATAGGCTGCTTGCTTCTCCTCTGTTGGATCAAACGAGAAGTTTTTACCTCTCATTTTAACCCGTAAAACTTCCCAGCCAGCAATGTCGTAGATGAGACATTGTTGATTTTCAAAGGATACTTTAAATCCCTTTTTAATCAAATGACCTACACTTAGTAAGTTTTGGTCAATATCAGGTACGTAGAGAACATCGGATATAATTTTGGTACCTGAACACGTTGAAATTGCAATGGTTCCTTTTCCTTTTGCAGTAATATAGCCACCATTCCCTATTCTGACCTTTGAGACATTTGTGGGCTTTAAATCCTTGAATAGAGTCTTGTCATATGTCATGTGGTTCGTACAACCACTATCAATTAACCAGCATTCAGAATTGCTCCTTGTCGAATAGCATGTTGCAGCAAAAATATAGTTTTCTTCATCTTGCTCAACAACTTGGGCATTGGCTTCATGTTGCTGCTGAAATTTGCTCCTACAAATTACAGCTTCATGTCCAAGCTGATTGCATTTACTACACTTCGCTTCTGGTCGTTTCCAACATTTGTATGGTGGGTGACCCGATTTCCTGCAGTGCTGACAAGGTGGGTAGTTTTTCTTTTTAACCCTACCATTGTTTTGGTTGTTTGCACTATTACCGCTGCTTGATGGCTGGTCCTTCTTGACATGCTTCTTTCTACTAGTTTCCCCATAATGGTGCTTGGCTCGTAAAGCACCTTCGACTGCACCATCTTGTCTCATCAACCTTCGCTGCTCTTGGGACTGCATAGCACTTACAAGTTCTGCCAATGTGATCTTTGAAAGATCCTTAGTGTTTTCTAATGAAGTAATAGAAGCTTCAAATTTTTCAGGAGCAGTTACTAGTATTTTCTGAACTATTCTTGAATCAGAAAAATCAGAACCTAACAACCTCACCTTGTTAGCAATGTTAAGAAGTCTGTTTGCATACTCCTTAATTGTTTCAGACTCCTTTATCTTCTGCATTTCAAATTCTCTAACCAGATTCATTGCTTGCATTCCCTTGATTCTTTCATCTCCTTCATATTCTTCCTTGAGGAAATTCCAGATCTCAAATGCCGAATTAATCATCATGATTCTGGTGAAAATGTCTTGTGAGACAGCAGCAAACAAAGTAGCTCTTGCCTTAGATTTTCTTCCTTTCTTCTCCTTGTGAATTTTTATCTGAGTCATAGTTGGATTGTTCGATAAAGGAAGAACTTCATAGTCTTCCTCAACGGTTTCCCAAAGGTCATTTGCTTCTAGGTAAGCCTCCATTCTTGCTACCCAGATGTGATAATTATCACCGTCAAACACATGCGGTGCTAGTTTTGTGTAAGGAGTTTCAAAATCCATCTATTTGATGAATTGAAGGAAGGTTTATTATGGTGGATTTTTTAATGGGTTCACTCACAGGTCCCTCTAAGAAGAAGGCTCTGATACCAATTTGTTAGTTTAATGGCAGAAAATAACAAATAGAGAGGCAGAGAAGTAGAGAAAATTGTTGGTTAAAAGAAAGGAATCTTTTTTGATCAATAGAAGCGTTACAATAAATAATAGAAAGAAAAACTGAAAACTATCCCACGTAACCAGGATTTTAGGGAATTGAATAATTAATCTAATTTGCTCCTAAAGTATAGCAACTACTACTAACTTGCTCCTAAAGTATAGCAACCACTAATTGACTAAAAACTGAAACAATAAAATAAAATAGTAATAATAAATCTAGCAGTTACAAAAGCACATTTAATAGAATTGGAGTTTAATTTTGCATACTTATATAGTGTGACAAAACAATTCATTAAGGGAGGGAATTGGAACCAAAAGTATCTTTGTGTTTAATACTACACTGATGACTAAATGGTGTTGGAGAATGATTCATGAACCAGGTGCGATTTGGAAGAATTTGCTGGATTTAGACATTACTCTCAAGTCTGCTATTGATTTATTGTGGCAAATAAATATCTCCATGAAGGTAAAAAAATTTGGGTAGAGCAATTGTTTGGATAGGCTCCCTACGCGATCAAATTTGGCGGCCGGGGGAGTAATATGGAATTTCCACGACATGGTTTCTGTCTTCTGCTTCAACTCATTAGAAACCATTAATCCTCTGTTTATAACTTGTCCTCGTATGCGTTTAGTTTGGACACAATATTTTATTGGGTTGGGGTAGCTTGGAGTGAGAAAGCTAACTGTTGTGATTATTTATTGGACTGGTTTTTGAAGATGGTGGGTAGGAGCTCGAAGAAAAAGGCATTATGATTTGGTTCTTCACATGTTGGTGTATTTGGTGGATGAGAAATCAGATTATTTTCAATGATGCGATTGGTAATCCGGATGAAATTGTTCAAAAATTTGTACACTCTTCTTGGTGGTGGTTGGCATTGTCTTCTAATCGTAGGTTCAAGTGTAACTGTTATGAATGGTGTAAAAGTCCTTCTGATTTTTTGTAAAAGGTTTGTGAATGTAATTGATTGATTGTTAGGGGTTGGGGTCATATTTTTTTTGTATTGTGACGGTTTGAATTGAAAAACGCCTAGTATTTTCTTTGAATATATTTACTTTTAAAAAATAACTATGACATATTTAAAGAGATCTGGGTAAGATCTTTCAACTGACCTGAAAGCCTATAATCTATCATAAACCAAACATTAGATTAGATGTGAATAAATGAGTTAGAGATGAATTTTAGGGTATGCAAAGCGATCTACATTATAAAAACTTATTCTTTTTAATGATTAAGTTACAACAAAAATGACCTCCATAGAAATATTCAACCGTTAAATTACGGTTAAATAAAATCCTTAAAATGTTTCACAACTCAACTAAAACTAACTTCAACTTCTTATACTTAGTCTCTCAAAGTTTGAGAGGACTTTGAAATGAGCCATCATCCATCTCTAACAATAACCTTCTTCAAACACAAATTGAGAATTTTAGATATACTAATTTTAATAACAAATTGAGATAACATGTTCAAACAGTGTTTATGAGAAAAATATTATGTTTTTAAGACTTGAGAAACCATAAAATCTAGATTGGATAAATATTTTTATCATCTTGAATATCTTCTTCATAGAATCAGGAAGAGAATAAACACTCATACAATATGATTGAATAACTTGCACAACAAAATTTAACCAAAACAAGCTGACATGCCTGAGAAAGCATTTTATTAAAAATTTCATCATGTAATAGGACAGGTACATAAAAAGCATTTTATTGTGTTTATAAAAATCTCCTATGTTTCATATTAAACATCATGGACCATATCCATTTCATTCCTTCATTCATTCATGTGATAGCACAAAACAACAAATACTAACCCCAAATAAGAGATTACTTATATAGCATTATAGATAAGATGCATCACTCTCAACTTCCATAATAATTTTTGGGTCGATAGCTTTATTTTTCAGAAAACTTGAGTACCATTTAGCAGAGAGTTTAGGTGTTCTCTTCAAATTTGGATCTTTCAAATCTATGTAGTATAGGCCAAAACTTTCTTCATATCCTCCAATTATTTCAAACAAATCCATAAAGGACCATACAAAATAACCTTTTATATTTGATCCACTCTTTACTGCTTTAGCTATGCTCCCAATGTATTTATGCAAGTATTTTATCCTAGAAAAATCATTCAATGATGAATTGTGAGGTGTTGAGTGGCCTGCAAAAAAGATTTGTCATACAAATAAATAAATAATGTGAATATTTTGAGAGAATGGAATGGAATAATCATGATGTATTTTGGAAAATTGTCATACCATTTTCATGTATATAAATTGGAAAATTTCCATAATCATTCTTCAAGGAATCTAGCACCTGTTGAAAATTCTAGGCTGTAATTAGAAACTAAACCAATCATAAACAAATGAAAAGAGGAAGGAGACCTTGTTACTAAAATTATGTTACCTTGTTTATAGATGTATCATTTTCAGGAAGTACTACGACAAGAAAGAACGTTTATAAGTAATTTGGTAAAGCAACATATCAAATTGGTTTTGTAGATAAAAAAGAGCAGAAAAAAATTTAAAACATACTTGTAATTTCTGCTGCTATATCTGGCAGGAAATCTATATATTCCATTTTCAGACTTTCGGTATAGTTGTTAACAGAAAATGTGCAGTAAAAGTTTATGCCTAAGAAGTCAATTGAGTTTCTGACCAGATTTGATTCTTTTTTGGTGAAGGAAGGAAGCCTTGAGCCAACAATCCTTTTCATTATATCAGGATAATCACCAAATGTTAATGGATTTAGTACCCTGCAATAATAAATGATAAACATAGATTTCTTAAAGAAATTAATGTAATTGTGACATTAATTGTATTGTAAAAAAAGTTGGATTTCTATGACAATTATTGTTATTTTAGAACTGTGTTATGATTCAAATTAGAGAAAATTCATGTCATCCAAGTTAGTCATTAAAATGATTAGAGAAAAGTGACACATGTCACTTGATTGATCCATGAATTAAGGGAATGAAGTTAACAAGAAATATTCTCTTAACCTTTTATAAAAGGGAGCTTTGATTGGAAACAAAGGCATGGAAAAAAATTGATGAAGTCTCTTCTCTTTCTCTTTGGTACTCTTGTAGGTTAAGGAAGTTTTTGAAGGGAGGGGAATTGGTAGATATGGAAGGCAATATGTGAGGAAACGTAAGAAAGAGAAAGAGAGAGAATAGGACAAATTCTGTTAGCAGTAGCACATGGGTTGAGACAGCTGGCAGCAGCTGTATGGTACTAGGACCTAGGAATAATTCCATAAATGATTGGGTCCCAATCAATTGTGAGGGAGGCAAATATTCCATTGGATCTGAACCCTAGGAGAGAAAAGGCCTCTCAAAGTGCCTCTATCATCTTTCTTTTTTGCATTATGTAATTTCCTTGTACTGATTTTGCTAGATCCCATTTGAACTCTAGCCTATTTCTTTAATTAAATCAGTAATTTTATCAGTTTTCTTGTATTGTTTCTGAATCTCTCTTTTAGATACTGAATTGATTCTATCAATTTGGTATCTAGAGCCTTGGTTTCGCTTACTCTGTGGATGGTTTTTACGCGTGGTATCATGGAGAATTGCGTGGAAATGATAGAACAAAGGATGAATCAGTTTGAAGGGACGATAGGACAGATACGACAGATCGTAACGGAGCAACAGTCCAGACCTCAGGTGACTGTGGAGCAGATTCGCCAGCTCATTCAGGAGCGTCCGGGTCACCACAGAGGATCCGACGACGATGAAGATGACGGGAGCATAAGGAGTAACCGTTCGCACGAATCTCGACCCAGAAATCGTCGTTACGGGGGTGGCGAAGGAGGGCGAACCATGGGAAGAAGAAGGAAGTTGGAGATTCCCATTTTCAAGGGAGATGACGCGTATGGTTGGCTCGTGCGGGTCGAGAGATACTTCCGTTTGAGTGGTGTAAGGATGCGCGACAAACTAGACGCGGTAGTGTTGGCTATGGAGGACAAGGCTTTGAATTGGTACCAATGGTGGGAGGAGCAAGCCCCACTGAGAACATGGGAGGAGTTCAAGGTAGTTGTGATGAGGAGGTTTCAATCGGGTCTGCTGCATAACTCGATGGGGCCTTTGTTGAGCTTAAGACAAAAAGGATCGGTGGTGGAGTATATGGAGAAATTCGAAATGCTGGTAGCTCCTTTAAGAAGGGAAGAACGAATTATGTTGGACTCCATTTTCATGAATGGACTGAAAGAGGAGATTCAAGCTGAACTAAAACTCCATGAGAGTCAAAGTTTAGCAGATTTGATGGATAGGGCCCTGTTAATTGAAGAAAAAAATGAGGTGGTCCACAAGAAGGGTAGTTCATGGAGAGATAGAGGAGGATCTTTTAAGATCAGGGATCCTGCAGAGGTAGGAGGATCTAGGAGGGAGGGAGAGAAATGGAATGGAGGAGGTAATGAGAAGTTCAGAGGGAGGAGATTAAATCCTGCAGAATTAGAAGAAAGGAGTAAGAAAGGGTTGTGTTTCAAATGTGGGGATAAATGGAATAAGGAGCACATATGCAAATTCAAGCATATGAGTTTTAAATTATGTGAAGAAAGCAGTGAGGAGGAAGAGGTAACAGACGGAAAAGGGGTGCAAACAGAAGATTGGGTGGGCGAAGTGAAGGAATGCAAGACTTTGCAACTCTCCCTGCAGAGTCAAGAGGGACTAACTTCTAATAAATCGTTCAAGGTCTGGGCTACAGTCAAAGAAAGGGAACTGTTGACACTAATTGATTCCGGGGCAACTAGCAATTTCATTGATGCTAGGCTAGTGGAAATGATGGGATTATAGTTGATGGAAACACCACCATATGTAATTGAGGTGGGGAACGGAGAGAAGATGAAATATCAGGGGGTGTGTGAAAAACTGAAGTTCTGGTTGCAAGGAGTGGAATTCAGCCAGAATTTCTTTTTGATGGAGTTAGGAGGGACTGATATGGTGCTAGGAATGGATTGGTTAGCTAGTTTGGGCAATATAGAGGCTAACTTTGGAAAATTATGCCTTATGTGGGAGTGGGGTGGACAGAAGTATAATATTCAAGGAGATCCTACATTAAGCAATCAACAAGTTTCTATGAAAGGAATGATAAGAGCTTTGAAGGATGAGGGGATGGGATTCTATGTGCAAACCGTGCAAATGGTTGCAGCAGAAAGGTATGCTGAGTTAACAGAGTGGGATGAGATTTTGGGGAAATTTGAGGAAGTGTTTCATTTACCTAAAGGTCTACCACCCAGGAGAGAACATGATCATGCTATTTTGCTTAAACCTAATGCTGCCATTCCAAACTTAAGGCCTTATAGGTACCGTTTCTATCCAAAAAAAATGAAATAGAAAAAATTGTAGGAAAAATGCTTCAGGCTGGTATCATAAGGCACAGTACCAGTCCTTTTTCAAGCCCAGTGTTGTTAGTAAAAAAAAAGATGGAGGGTGGAGATTTTGCACAGATTACAGAGCTCTAAACAAGGTGACCATACCTAATAAATTCCCCATTCCCATCATTGAGGAATTATTAGATGAATTGGGTGGAGCAGTCATCTTTTCCAAACTAGATTTGAAATTTGGTTATCACCAGATTAGGATGAAGGATGAAGACATAGCCAAGACAACATTCAGAACACATGAGGGGCACTATGAGTATCTTGTCATGCCTTTTGGCTTGACAAATGCTCCCTCCACTTTCCAAGCCCTCATGAATGAAGTTCTCAGGCAATTCTTAAGGAAATTTTGCTTGGTTTTTTTGATGACATCCTCATATATAGTAGGAGTAAGGAAGCACACAAAGAGCATTTAACTGTAATATTGCAAGTGTTGAAGGATAACCAACTATTTGCTAACAAGAAGAAATGTTCTTTTGGTCAAGAAGAGGTGGAGTATCTAGGGCATTTAATATCTGCCAAAGGAGTAGCAGCAGACCCCAGAAAGATAGAAGATATGATTAAGTGGCTTGTTCAAAAAAATATAAAAGGATTAAGAGGCTTCTTAGGTCTAACTGGCTACTATAGGAAGTTTGTAAGGAATTATGGAAAAATAGTTTGGCCCCTTACTCAGTTGTTGAAGAAAGACAATTTCCTGTGGAGTACAGAGGCACAAGTGGCTTTTGATGAACTGAAGATAGCCATGACCACCCTCCCTGTTTTGATTATGCCAGATTTTGAAAAAGAGTTTGTAGTGGAGACTGATTCTTCTGGCAAAAGCATTGGAGCAGTGTTAATGCAGGAGGGCAGACCTGTGTCATATATGAGTCAAACTCTAGCAGCTAAAGCCCAACAAAAGTCAGTTTATGAAAGAGAGCTCATGGCGATGGTCATAGCTATTCAGAAATGGAGAGCTTATTTATTAGGCAAGCATTTCAAGGTGCATACAGACCTAAAAAGCTTAAAGTTTATAACAGAGCAGAGGGTGATGGGGTAAGACCAGCAGAAGTGGCTATCTAAATTGATAGGATATGATTTTGAGGTTAAGTATAAGCATAGAAAGGAAAATAGTGCAGCAGATTCCCTTTCCAGGCAGATGCAGTATTCTCACATAACTACTGTCCAAAGCGAAGCTTGGAATGGATTAGAAGAGGAGGTACAACGGGATGAGAAGCTGAAGGGGATAGTGCAGGCCTTATTAGCAAATCCTCTTAGTCAGAAGGGGTTTCAACTTAAGGGAGGAAGGTTGTATTATGAAGGAAGAATAGTGGTGCCTAAAGGATCCCCTCGAATTAGTTGGATTCTGAATGAATTCCATGATACAGCAGTGGGAGGGCATTCTGGTTATCTCAGGACTTTCAAAAGGATTAGTAGTGTGGTATATTGGGAGGGTATGAGAAAGAGAATTCAAGAGTATGTGCAGGCGTGTGAAGTGTGTCAAAGGAATAAGTATCAAACATTGACACCTGGAGGATTACTACAGCCTTTACCTATTCCCACACAAGTATGGAGTGATATTTATATGGATTTCATAGGGGGTTTACCTAAAGTGCAAGGAGTAGACACTATTATGGTGGTGGTAGATAGACTTTCTAAGTATGCTCATTTTTTTCCAATTAACCATCCTTATACAACCAAGAGTGTTGCTGAAGTTTTCCTTCAAGAAGTGGTTAGATTGCATGGATTCCCTAGTTCCATAGTTTCTGACAGAGGCAAAGTGTTTCTTAGCCATTTCTGGATTGAGCTATTTAAGCTGGCAGAGACTAAGTTGAAATATAGCAGTGCCTACCATCCTCAATCTGATGGCCAAACAGAGGTAGTTAACAAGTGCTTGGAGACATATCTCAGGTGTGTTACAGGGCTCAAACCTAAGCAATGGCCTAAGTGGTTAGCATGGGCAGAATATTGGTATAACACCAAATACCATGCCTCACTAAAGACCACTCCATTTGAGGCACTATATGGAAGAGCACCTCCAGTGTTAATTAGAGGAGACACCCCTGGATCTGCAGTTGATGAAATCAGTAAATTGACAACGGAAAGAAATTTGATGATCAAGAAACTGCAGGAGCAGTTACTCAAAGCACAGGATATGATGAGAAATCAAGCAAACAAGCACAGGAGGGAGGTGGTTTATGAAGTAGGAGATAAGGTTTTCTTAAAAATCCAGCCTTACAAAATGAAGAGTTTAGCTAAAAGGCTGAACCAGAAGCTGAGCCCTAGATTTTATGGACCTTATGAAATAGTTAAAAGGGTGGGGGAGGTGGCTTATCAGCTTAAGCTGCATGATGATACTAGAGTACATCCAGTATTCCATGTTTCCTTGCTGAAAAAAGCTATTAG